CAATAATACACTTTTGCATATTTATTTAATGCTTGATTTTGAACAGTTTAAAGAAGCGAAATGGAAAGAAAAGATGGTAACACTTTACTTGAAGGGGTGTGCATAAGACTGACATGACACCTTCATAATCATGAGATGACACATGTCATGAATATGAAGGAGGTTTTATGCATGTTTATGATAACTGTCATTGTGTCATTCACTCAGTTATGCCATTTTTAATGCAAATATGACATTATTTGACGTAACCCTAACCTAACCCTACCCTTACCCCTAACCATAGCCCATAACAAAGACATCTCAAACAATGTAATCTTTGCATTAAAAATTACATAACTGAGCGAATGACACTTAATGACAGTTGTCATAAACATGCATAAAACCTCCTTCATATTCATGACATGTGTCATCTCATGATTATGAAGGTGTCATGTCAGTCTTATGCACACCCCTTCAAGTAAAGTGTAACCGAAAAGATAAACATAACCCTAAAGTCAACCTTTAGTCAAACCGACAGTAACATGTTAGTCAGCCATTTTAAATGTATACAAGTAGATGCATAATAACCATGCAAGTGGTTGCAATTCATCTTGCATTTGCACTTCCTGTAAAAGCACAGAAATAAATGCCCTCTTATCCATTTTCAATTACTTACAACAACAACAGTATCAAAGATATCACACATAATGTTTGATAATATATTTGTTCTCGGTATGAAACACACTTGATGAAAAATGTAAAAGAAAAATGTGTTTGTGAGCAGCAGGTGAACAAAGTCTGAACTTCTTATAAAAGACAGCAGTGCTCACTTAGGCAGTGTGTGAAGCAGAGATCAGAATGATCCAAGAATAAACTGGCATCAAAAACTACAACTGACAAATTTGGTTAAAGCTGAACTGCACAGCTGTTTTGAAAGTGTACTCCTCATTAAAGGTCAATTTATAATGTGGGACATAACTGATTATTCAAACAAATATATATATATATTTATATATAAAATCCTTATTTTACATAAATATCTTACTAAAGAAAACAGCAGGATCAAAAGATTATCTGGAGAGGTGACCATTTAAAGGAATAGTTCACCCAAAAATGAAAATTAGCTGAACATTTACTCACCCTCAGGTCATCCAAGATGTAAATGAGATTGTTTCTTCATCAGAACAGATTTGGAGAATTTTTTTTTATCAGCTGTTTTGACTCTTATTCTGACGGCACCCATTCACTTTAGAGGATCCATTGGTGAACAAGTGATGCAATGCTAAATTTCTCAATCTATTCTGATGAGGACACAAACTCATCTACATCTTGGACATTTCAGCTAACTTTCATTTTTAGGTGAACTATACCTATAATGCTGTGTCGCAGATATGAATCTAGTCAGCATATTTATATTTGAGTGACACGTTATTTGAAGAGTACACTGTACAAAGGACAATACAAGATCAAAATCTTTGTAAAAAAGGGAAATGTGTAGAAAATGCATGATGTACAGTACAAATATTATATTCTTGTTCAAAACATGGAAAAGAAGTCACACACACTTCAATGTGCAAAATTATACTGAGAAAAAGAAAAGAAATTATGCCTCGTGCACAATAAAATGAAAAACACTTTATAACATGCCCTAGAGTCAAAAAAGCACCCAATGCTAAAATAATACAGAGTGCATAAGATCTGATTCATCCTGTTTTTTGAGCATTGCAAATTGAGCATTATGTGAGTGGGTACAGAATGACGATAAGTATTTCTCTTCTTTTTGTTAGCTATTACAATATGTAATTTGTTGCAAATATTAATCATTCTGTACCTACTAGCATAAAACAGTTCATGTTTGTAAATGTACAGATGTCAACACACTTAAAAATAAAGGTTGCAATTAGAGGGGCTTTGCAGCCGTCAGTCTGATACCAATTCTTAATATCGTTTATGTACTGATGATCTGTGATTTAAAGATGCTAAAAATCTATCAAGAGCTTGCAAAATCTCCAGAATATCATATAGTCGAGAAATACGCTTAAATGTTAAAATTGTGCCCCGATAAGCTACTGAAGAACCTCTATTTTTAGGAGTGTATGATTACAAAATGATCCTTTTTTTTTCTTTTCTTTTTTTTACACATACAATTTAATGTCTTCAAAACAAATAAAAGTGGATTCTCATTAAATCCACTAATCAATGTTTCAAGTAAACACAATTTAACATTGATTTTATCTCTCAATAATTGAATTATCCTCTACTATTCATTCAGATGATAATGAAAACAATATACTAATGAAAAAATAGGTGTGTTTCAGACATGAATGAATTGATTGCAAACTCATTTAATTCAGTAATAATTAACCTGTTATCAGGATAGACATTTTCAGTGGGTTTATATATAACCAATCTTTGTCTGAAACAGTCAAAATACAACATAAGGAATGCTTGCATTAGGTTTAAAAAAAAACAAACAGCTGCTGGTACATATGAAACCACATTATGAATGAATCCAGATCCCAAATTTTGTAAGGAATACAACATAAGGAATGCTTGCATTAGGAAAAAAAAAAAAAAAACAGCTGCTGGTACATATGAAACCACATTATGAATGAATCCAGATCCCAAATTTTGTAAGGAGATTAAAGATTATTTTCCCTCACAAAAGCTGTTATGGTTAATGTGGTGTTGTCATCCCATAGCGGTACTGTTTATTCTGTGATTCTGGTAATAAGTTGCATATTGGACAACCAAAAATAGTTTTCATGTCAAAAAAGAAGTTTACTCTAATCAGACGTATAGGCATAAAAACTTCATATAAACAAATAGTTTATCTGAAGGTCAAACATGTGCGAAACCAATGATAAATAAATTAAACGCCCAATGTGTCACTGCTGGTTTAAATTAGTTGCTTTAGCTGCCCCAATATATTCTGAAAAGTACAACCGTTCTGTAAGAGTAGATTTACCCAAACAAGCATTTCAAAGAGTTGGCAAAATATACAGATGGAGTCAGCATTGACATCTATGTTTACAGCAGTGAAATGTTGCATGCATGTTGCAACACCATCAAATGCCCTGTTGCAAACAGCCATTACATTTTTGGAAAATTTTTTTGCAAAGTAACATGTAGAAGGATTGTGGCAATAGTTGGTACATAGCAGGCGTTTCAAATTAGTTAAAAGTGATAGTTTACTTTGTCACTCATGTTTACTTTTTTTTTTTTTTTTAGCTGTATAACTGATTCTATTCTCATTTTTAAAGGTATAACATTATGCTGTGTACAAGCACAACATTGTTGTATGCAAAGCAGGATGGTTATGTACATCCATTTATGCTAAATATTAATATTAAACGCAAGAATAAAGGTGTACTTTGAGTGAAGTGTGAGGTTGCATTCTACCTGCAACTCTCGACAGAAGGCAGTGATATTTAGAATCAGGAATCATCAAAGATTTTGTCTTTCTTTGGTTTGTCTGGAAACACAAGAACACTCAGACCACATCTGCATGTTCATCAAGCTGCGCTGGATCCTCTGATCACAAACATTATTTAACATCGTCATCAACAAGGAACGAAATGTGCTAAAATGTTTCTTTCACATAGTGAATAATATAGAAGAGAAAGAAAAAGGTCTAAAATGCTACTTTTGCATTATCGTCTTTTCTGTAGTCCAGTCAGTGTCAGTCTGCTCACATCTGCCGCCCTCTGGAGTCTCTCAGTACTATAGGATGCTTATACAGGAATCAAAATTCTTCCAACAGCCACCAAAGAGCAGGCCATACTTAAAGATCTCCCAAAATCTCTTCAAGTTTTTGTTGCTTATGAAGGAAGTCAAACCAGAACCTTGTGGATTTCACTACAGGGTTACTTCTTGGCTAGCTGGAACGGATTCTGACCCTTTTAACAAAAGAAACATACATATTTGTAGTAGACTTCTGCAAAGATGACACAGAGAGGGCCTCAGAAAACATGCATGTATATAAAATGACTAAATGCAATTTTCACACTTTTTGTCAAATGCAAATCACAATAACAAGCACAACTTCAGCATTTAAACATCCAGAGGGTGTTAATTTTTCTTAGTCTCTGTGTAAATGTCATGTCATTACTGTAAAAAACAAAGTTCAAAAAATCAATCTTCTAAGGATTTCAAATTAAAGAGAGAACATATGAATAAATAAGACGTGTTAGGAACTGTTTTGGCTTTTTACAGCCATTTATTATCTTATATTCCTCATGTTGACAGCATAGCTTCTTTGACATTGTTGATATGTCTCAAAACTACTTTGGCAGAGTAAAAGCATTAAGGCACATGTTAGTATGAGGTATTACAGACAGATAAAGAGTTTATAGACACTGATTATTACAAACCATGCTTAACTTGATATTAAGTGGCAAAATGGAACCCGAATAGCTTGTCAATGTAAGCAGCAGCAATCCTACACAATCCACTTCAACACTGAATGAACACAAAACAAATACAACAAAACCATTTTAGCTGTGGGCCTTATAATAAACATATTATGATGTATATGGCATGTTTGTAATACTAACTTAGTTGGTTTTATTCTTCATTTTTACTTGAGGTAAAATGGGACATACACTACCATTCAAACATTTGGAGTCAGTACGATTTTTGAAACAAGTTTCTTATGTTCACCAAGGCTGCATTTATTAAATCAAAATACAGTAAACTTGGTAATATTGTGAAATATTTTTACAATTTAAAATAACTATGTATTTAATTTTTTTTTAAACGTATTTCTGTGATTTCAAAGCTGAATTTTCCGCCTCATTACTCCGATCTTCAGTGTCACACAGTTGTGCTGCTTAATATTTTTGTGGAAACATGCATTTGTTTCATTCTTTGATGAATAGAAAGTTTAAAAGAACAACATTTAAAATAGAATATTTTTTCAACTATGTAAAAGTCTTTAGTGACACTTTTGATCAATTTAATGCATCTTGCTGAATAAAAGTACTATAATCTTTCAAAAAAAAAAAAAAAAAAAATGCTGACCCCAAACTTTTGAATGGTTGTTGATGCTTATTAACAAACACAAAGATGTGCTCGACAGTGAGCAGCAATATAAATGAGATAAATGAAGACTAAATTCATTGCCCAAGTATGTAAATTACATTAATCTACTATACTATTAAATTGCCAGAAATAAGAATAGAAAAAATATAGCTGCTCAAAGGGCCAGATTTAGACGTATTTACATGAAAGCCTATCAAGGCAAAGCACTGTGTGTGGATTTCAGTCATTCTTTTCTTTTCATAGAGCCATTCACTAATTCAGTTTTTGCAATAATATATTTGGCAAAAAATGGCAGGTGAATATGGAGAAAACAGTATGAAATGCTCACTAAACAAGCCACGCAGTGCAGATGTTCATAATTTATGCACTGAAACTCATATGAAACAACTGACTACTGTCTACTGCATGTAGTATGGACTTTGAAATAAGTCATTTTAATGTTCAGTAAACATATGCAGTTACAGTGTAAGCAGGTGTGGTGTGAACATGTTAATCTCAGAGCAAAGACTTTCCTCTTACACACAAGGCCAATTTGTAACTCCAGCCCCACTAATCAGTGCAGCGTGGTCCGACACAACACATTAAAACACTATGATACAATAAGTTAATAGGCACTTAACAGTTAACATAATGCACAAATATCATGCATATGTTGCCACAGTATATTTCTTCCTCAATCAAAAAACTGTATTAAGTCCATTACATAAAAAACATTACCAGTAATAAAAATAAACATCTGTACAAAAGTCCTGCCAGTATTTTTATGGTTTGCTGTATTTTCCATCAATATAATAGATCAATGGCAAAAAAAAAAAAAAGTACAAAAATAAATATTCTATTTACAATCACACATGGCATTCAGGAATTAACGTCACTGCAAAACAAGAGGCAAAAAGACTGTTATTTTCAAGCACACACCTTCCAAGCAAATGGAGGTATAGAGTTATTCCTATCAGATGTCGAATCAACAATACATCTCAAATCATATTCCAAAACAACTAGTCATAAAGTATCGTATTATAGCAGATTGAAAATGTTTAGTTATAAATTGAGTAACAAAATAATTTCTATGCACATAAACCAATTTGTATAACATTATATATTAACTTATTCTGTACCTCCATATCATGAATTCATAGCATGAGTTATATCATAATAAAGATGGTATGGACACAATTATTTAAAATCAAAATGTTAATATGATCATTCAATATAACTCACTTTATTCCAACACCCTGGTACTGGCAAACCATCATCACCCTAAAACAAAGAGGAGTGGTGAAGAATTGTAAGAATTAGTAATATTTTTGAGAGGGGTGACATAACTGTATCTGTGCACATACAGTATACATAATCATTTCAGAAGTCACTTTTGAAACATACATTTCCCTTTCCCCTCTGCAGTAAGTTGATCAATCAATCAATGAATCAATAGATGACTGTCCATGCACACACACACACACACACACACACACACA